ATGAAGAGCAGCAAATGATGACAAAGGTCCTCATTGCGAAGGAACTTGAGAAGGAAGAAATGTATCTCTCAAAGACACCTTACCACAATGACATTTTAATTGGGTCAGAGTGGTTGAAAAATGTCATATGCAATGAAGGTAATAGGTGTTTGGAAATGTTTAAAATGACCCTAGAAGCATTTGTTAGCCTAGTAGGTGCATTGAGAGAGTGAGAGTTAGTGAAAGATAGTAGATATGTATCAACTAATGAATAGGTTGGAATTCTTTTAAAAATCATAGGACACAACAAATCAAATAGAGATACTGCAGACCGCTTTCAACACTCTGAGGAAACCATTTCACGACACATTAATTCCGCATTAAAGGCAATTTGTGAATTTGGCAAGGAAATTGTATGACTTGGTGATCTAACTACTGTACCGCCTGAGATACTCAACAATCCAAAATATTATCCATGGTTCGAGGTATCTCATACTATATGTGAGATAATTTTTTTAATTATTTATTCTTTATTAAAAAATCCATCACCAAACTGTATTATTTTTTCATCTGTAGAATTGTATAGGTGCAATAGATGGAACCCATGTTTATGCTTGTGTTCCATCTGGTGATTAAGTTCTATTTAGGTGAAGAAAATCAGCAACCACCCCGAATGTGATGTGTGCATGTTCGTTTGACATGCTCTTCACTTTTGTTGAGGCAGGATGGGAGGGTGCTACACATGATTCAAGAGTTTTCTTGGAGACAGTTGAAAACCCCGACAATATGTTCCCGCTACCACCAAAAGGTTAGCAAAACTATCAAATAACTCATCAGAGTTTTTTATTCAATACACTAATACATTTGTGCTATCATATAGGAAAATATTACGTAGTTGACTTGGGTTATACAAATATGCTTGGATTTCTGCCTCCATATCGATAAGAGAGATATCATTTAAGAGACTTTCAAGGAAGAGGTGGTCATCCCAAGAATGCCGAAGAGTACTTTAATTATATTCATTATTCATTAAGGAATGTCATAGAATGTTATTTTAGTGTTCTTAAGGCAAGATTCCCAATACTAAAGTTGATGCCTCCATACCCACTTCACAAGCAAATTAGAATTGTATTTGCTTGTTGTGTGTTACATAATTTCATTCGATTATCGAGAATCCAATATGTGTTTTGGAATGGTTTCCTTCAAGATAGTGTTCCCGTTGAAAGAGAGGGAGGAATGTTTCATGGTACAACAACAACAACTATTGATATTGGATCCCAGGCATCTAGACGGATGGAACAAGTTCGTGGTGAAATTATGTTCAAGATGACTGATATTTATAACTTACGTGTCAATCGCACCCGCCCAAGAAGTATACATATGAGGCAATCAAATTAGTTGGGAATTTTAATGAATTATTGAACAATTAATGCTTATGTGTTTTTAATTATGACATTGGTATGTTCTCGACTAATGATCATGTGCTAGTTGGAAATTTCACAAATCATTTGTTAGGTTATAAACAATTTTATTGTGATATGATATTCAATTATTTTGTTATTTACTCATGGCAACAAATCGAAGGGGACCAATGTGTCCATGTGGGCGTGGACGTATGAAATTGTGGGTGGCAAAAACCGAGAAAAATTACGGAAAATGATTTTATAAATGTCCAACTAGTGAGGTATAAGTCCAATACCAAAAAAATCATATTGATCAATATTTGTGTTTGACATGGATTGAGAATTATTAACATTTTTTTCTTTCAGCCACATGAATATGATTTCATGTGGGCAAATAACTACACCCCCGAAGAATTAGAAGTCCACATCATGGAATAGCATAATATTGCTCATGAACATGCAGATTACAAGAAAGAGCGGGTTGTTACAATTGGGGCTTGTACTTGTTGCTGTGCCATGATATATTTGATCCTTTTTTTGCTAATTTCGATTATCATTTTGTTAGTACAGAAATAGGATAGATACCACTAGAAGTGTGGTTAGTATGCCGCTATCATGAACTGGTGTATGGCTTTTTCATTTTGGATATGCTTTGTAGTTTTATAATACTAAAGTTGTATTATTAAAATTAAGGTTATTATGCTACTAACATGTACAAAAAATTTGAATGTGTAAGTGGGTCCCACCAATGGTATATACATATGGGGCCCACATTATGTATTATGCATATGCTGAAGTGTATGTGGGCCCAACATTGAAAAAATATTTATGGACTCCATAGTGAAGGATATAAATTGCATGTGGGGCCCACATTAATGCATTATGCATATGTCAGATGTACATGGAACCCACCTTGAAAAATATTTATAGGCTTCAAAACGAATGGCATGCATAAGTGGACTTACATGTGGGGCCCACATTAATGCCTTATGCATATGTTGAAATGTATGTGGGGTCCACATTGAAAAAATATTTATGAACTACATAATGAAGGGTATACATAGCTAGATTTGCATAGGGCTGTTCATAAGAAGGCCCAACCCGACCAAACCGACCAACCCGGACCGACCCAACCCGAGTCGGCCGGGTTTTCATCAGCACCAGTCGGTTTTGGGTTGGGCAAATTTATAAACCAAAATATCGGGTCGGTTTCAGTTTTCTTGTTTTAAAACCGAAACCGAACCAAACTAGTCTTCTACTAGTTCGGTAGTTCCTAGTTTCCTACTTAACTAGTCTTCTACTAGAACTAGAACAACCCTATCTTCTAGTTCATACTTAACTAAATTATATCTATCATAGTTTCTATAGTCTTTTACACCAAATAGGCAACCCATTAGGCAATTACAATTTGAATTAGGTACCTAGATTAGAATTTAGAAAGTTTCTTTAAATATAAATGTTTCAGCCTTCTTTCTATAAAACAGTTTGACTTTCTATTTTATTGTCTTATTGAATATTGATAACTTTTGTCTTTTGTCTTCTAACGTTTGTCTTATTGAATATTGAATATTGATAACTTTTGTATTCTATAAAACAGTTTTGTCTTTTGTCTTTATTGAATACAAAAGCTTTTTGAGTGGAATAGGGGTTAGTAAGGTTGACACTGGACCAAAGGTGAGACAAGTTTCAGAAAAAAGGTTTGACTACAGGAGCAAAATCGAAACCGACCCAAACCGACTCAAACCAACCAGGTCGGTTTTGCCTATTAGTGGGTCGGTTTCAGTTTCCACCTCAGGTAACCCGACCAGGTTGGGTCGGTTGGGAAAACTCCAATAAACCGACCCAATCCGACCCGTGTACAGCCCTAGATTTGCATGTGGGGCCCACATTAATGCATTATGCATATGTTGAAATGTATGTGGGGCCCACATTGAAAAAATATTTATGAACTCCATAAGGAAGGATATACATAGTTGGAATTGCATGTGGGGCCCACATTATGTATTATTTATATGCTGAAATATTTGTGAGGTCCACATTACGTATTATATATATGTTAAAATGTATGTGGGGTCCACCTTGAAAAAATATTTGTGGACCCCATAGTGATGGATATGCATATGTGGACTTAATGTGGGACCCATTTATGGTAAGTGCACGTGGGGCCCACAACTATGAAATGCATGTTTAAATCTGTATGTGGATCCCACGTGTTAAATGAATGGTTTGTTGGCTCACACAAGACATTCATATATATATATATAATACATATTTTTATGGAGTTACCAAACAGTCTCCCAGCTTTTATGGTCTTTTCGAAAATCTATTAAAAATGTTTCAACCAAATGGTCTTCTAAGATCTACTTACAAAAACTCACCTGGTCTTTTAACCATCAGATCTTGCAACAGATCTTTTAAAAAAGACTTGCCAAACATACACTAAAACTATTGAGATTTGGGTAGATCCTTTATACCAGTTTAGCTTTAAACTCTGAGTTTCCATTTAGGAATTAGGAAGGCTGAACGCAGCGGCTTCTGGCTTTCCGAGGTTGACTGTCGGTGCCGATATGAGATTTTCAGTGAAGCTATCTCGGATGGTTTCTTCTAAGCGGTCCAGTATCGAAAACCCTCTTAAACAGGCCCTCAAAGTCAAAGCAGCTCCAGCATTGCAGTTAGGACTCAGGAGGGAGGTGTTTAGGAATTAGGATTGATGCTGATTCACTGATTTCTCAAAATCAGAGAAATTTGTTTGTTTTTGTTTAAGTATCATTGCTGCCATGTCAGCAGATTTTTCAAAATTCGGTTATAAGTTTGTTTGATTATCTGTAGTGATTGTTGTATTTATGAAAACTATTTCCTTTAACCATGTCAGATGCCACGTCATTCCCAAAATAATCAACATCTCCTGTAAATGGGAATCATTGATTTCCTTTTTCAGCCCAATTTTAATCATTATTTGCTGATTGATTTGTCTATTTCTCAAAAATCCATCAAGTAATTTTTTAATAACTGACGTGGCTTTAATATAGGGCAGATTTCTAAGAATTCTGCATCCGTCCCAAACAGCATCTTAACCGGTCATTTTTTTGGACTGTTAGCTTTCAGCCTCTTTAGAATAGCTTATCTTGAGCGCTTCAAAGCAGTTGAACCAGATTAAAGGCAAGTTTGGCGTGTCTTTCTATGTGTTCTTTTGGTTGTTTATAAGGTGAGTAGACCAATTTTTTGTCTATTTTCATTTGGTTTACAGAAGATTTAGCTGTCAAAAATCAAAGCGGTGAAAAACCCATTTTAGGCTGATTTTGGGAAGTTCCAAATGAAGCTTTTCGTATTTTATTCTCACATAGAAAGACACTGCAAGACATGCATCTATCAAACATACTTTTCAGGCTACTCAGATCTTCGTATAAAATTCAATACATCTTTTGACTGTCAAAATTACCAAAAAATCTTCTAAAAAAGACAAACCAAACAAGCCCTAACTTATCCGGATCGCCTCAGCTCAATCCAACTTAACAGTCATGGTTAGCTGAATCGCCCTCATTAACATTAAGGGCACGTTTGATAACTCTTTTTAGAGATATGAAGTCTCAAATATTTAATTCTCAGATGCAGCCCAAGCTTCGGCTGAAGTCATGACTGAAGTTTTTCAGTGCTTTAGAAGATGCAGCCCAAGCTTCGGCCTCATTGCTTATTTCGAGTTTCAGCATTACATAGCTAAGATACCGTCCATTGCGGTATCAAACGTATCTAGGACTAGGAACCTGGACCTGCTTAATCATCAATATAGGAGGGTAGCTCGCGTCGCGCGTTAGATAATCCCAATTTTTTCTAGAAAAATATATTTGTGGAGGGAAAGATAACCAACAATGGATGGTAGCATGGCTGTTCGTCTGCAACACAGAGTGCCAGTTTTGGTGGGTGCTTCTCGCTCTGCTTCTACATGCTCCATATATGCTTCTATTCTTCATTTCTCAACAAAAGTGACAAATAGGTGCTTCGGAAGTAGAACACCTCGTCGCTTCATACTAGGCCTTGGTGCCGCATTTTTTCCTCAGTTCGTGGGCATGGCGGGTAAATGTGGAGGAAAATCTTTCTTCGCTTCTGCAAGACAGCAAGGGATCTCTTCCGTTGAACAGGTTAATTCTCACTTATTTATTGCTCTTGCATCCTGTTAATGCTTTTGGCTTCTATGACTCACTTAATTTTTTTTTTTTTCTAACGACGGTGCTCGTACTAAACAATGGAGATGCTAATGCATGAATAAAAGGGAACCATAATTTCAGGACTCTTACTAAACATATTTGTTCGAATTATGTTTGCTCCGTATTTTTATTTCGTGGGTTCTCTCGAATTTCTAAATTTTATTGTATAAATCAGTTATGATGCGAAATTGCAAATGGTTGTGGGATTTCTAAGAAAAATCAAAATTTCATAATCAGGATGAACATACTTGCTTTGTTTATTAGTTTTGGTCTACCCTTCCATATTTGGTTTCAGTCTTCGGTTTTGGATGGTTGGAGTTAATCGTTGTGCTCGAGACTTGAAGAAATTTGGGTCATATCCATTGTCATGGAATTTGGCGAAGACTTTGGAGGTTGAGCAAGAAACCTAAGATTAATTAGAAGAAATTTGGGCCATTAAGGTAGATTTATCTATTCTCATGAAAATTGCCCAAGTTTTTGTATGTTGAGGTTAATTAGAAGAATACTGTAGGTCTCCAGTTAATAATGGCTCTCAGTAAACGTTTATAGCCACAAAACAAAACCGTCTTTCTTATCTGCCGAGAATGCTTTGCTTTTTCCTCTCTAGAACGTTGAAATATTTACATTGTGGTTCTTAGTTATGCTGTGATATTGGTTATCTTTTTGAACTTGCTAATGTCACCACTAATCTTGTAAATGTCCGAATTGCTATTTGTATCCTACTCAAGTGTCTGATGAGCTATTTCTGTTCTGTCTGGAAGGTGCTGACAAATGTTGAATGGCCAGAAGAATTTCCGTTCAAGGAAGAGGACTTCCAGCGATTTGATGAGTATGGTTTTGTTGCCTAATCATGTCATATGTACCATCTTTTGGATTCTTCTTTGCATGATTTTTTGAGCATATTGGCTGTCTTCCTTTTGTCTGTCCTGCCTAATTTATTTGCCCTTCCATCTCAAGCACATTGTGCAAGATTTAAATGAATAGCTTCATTTAAGAGTATGATTTCAGTAAGCACGTTACTTTTATTATTTACTTGGAAAGGGTAACTCTATAAAATATTAAAAATTAAAAGTTAGAAGGATCTGTATATGAGAGAGGATGTACAGATGGACAAACAACCCCTGCCAATAATAAAGGATAACAAAGCAAGGAGCTCTTGCTATACAAAAGTGTCGTCTTTACCTTAGATTTTGCAAACTGATATGCAACAGAGTTCAGCTCTCTAGGATTCCATCTAAAACTTGTTGTAATTGAACTCAATATCTCCCTAATCACATTGGTCTACCAATCACAAATGGTTACCCCCAGCTTCCCTTCAACAAGCAAGGAAGAGAGCCAGCTTGCTGGTGAGAGGGGCTCCTATGGAGCTAATACCTCACTAATACCTCAGCTCTAGTGATGCCTGTTTCACAAATAAACCACACTACTCTTAATGGAGGCTGAAGTAAAAAGTAGCAAAAAACGATTTGTGGGTTGGTCGTCCGAGCCTTTTATCAAGAACTTTGTATGATTGATGAGGTCATCCAAGCCTTTTATCTAGAACTTTGTTTGGTTTGATGATAGGCAACATAATTCTAATTTGTATATTTTATTTTCCATTTATCTTTTCCTAGACGAGACATCTTGGTTCTTACTGATTTTATGCTTCATTCTTAGGCTAACAAATAGGTAAAAATGGAGCTTGTAGTATTTGATGCGGTCATAAATCTGGGACAGAATAATCTTTATTTGAATAATTAACTTGAACTTGGTTAACAATGTAGCATATTTTCTAAGTCACGTCTATGAGGTTCCATATTTTGTGATCAATTGAAACATAGTGTTCAATGTTGAATGAAAACATTTCATGTTTCTGAAGTTTTTGAGCATCTTGAGTTGGATGTTTGGGTCATTTCTCTATAAATTTGGTTTTTTTTTTGAATCTCATTACTTCATAATTCTAAACCAATAGAAGTACATTCCTTGTGTATTTATTTTATCAGTAATCTTGACATATATGGAACATCTTAGTTACCTATTTTTGTTCATCCATTATATTATGTTTGATGTGAGGTAACCTTGGATGCTAATAGCAAGAGAATACTTTGTGAATGATTTCTCAAGCCAGTAGATAGGTTCATTTTCCAGAGGCTGTCCCCCCTCCCAACGGAATTAAACTTTAGACAGGACATATTTGCATATGTATGAAATATTGTATATCTTAAAGCATAACAGTTCATTTTGGTAGGTCACCAGATTCTTTATTCTATGAGACACCACGCTTTGTGACACATATTGATGATCCGGCAATTGCGGCACTTACAAAATACTACTCTAAAGTTTTCCCACCTAGTAATACTCCAGGAGTGAGTCTTCTTGATTTATGCAGCAGTTGGGTAAGATAATTCTGACTTTTATGCTTTGATTTCTTCCATGGCTGCATTTGTATCGCTTATATTCTGATTACCTGCTGTCTTATGTTCTAGGTAAGTCATTTTCCAGCAGGATACAAACAAGACAGGATAGTAGGTCTGGGTATGAATGAAGAAGAGCTTAAGCGAAATCCTGTATGTTAATACTGCTCTCTTTTTTTTTTTTTGTTCTTTTTTTATGGTGGCGTGTGTGCTTTAGGGGGAGGGGTGTTAAAGTCTCATTGTTAGTAATTAAAGACAAGCCTTTGAATTAAACAGTTGGTGACTGGCACTTGTTGGACCCCCATGATCATCGTCATCATCTAAGCATTTTCCCAACTATATGGGGTTGGCTACATGCATCCTGTTTTGCCATTCTGTTCTGACCCTAATTATTAACTTGAGAGCACATGGCTAGGAAACACAATAGTTCAATTTGCAACCTGTAATAATTTTCTGTATTTTGTTTGAAATTATCTCTTGCGCTTATAAGTGTGTATGAAAAGGTGAAAACCGTGTGGGGTTTCAGTTGATAATTGACGAAAACCGGAAGTTGTGTTCTATTAGTAATATAACATCTATTTTTGTGCAATTATAGTAATTTCTTCTGGTTAGAATTCCAATTGCTTTATTTTCTCTATTTAGTTATCTAAAAACGGATTTTTATTTCAAGTGAGACATATTTGTGCAGAAGAAAGAATTATTCTAATTGTCTTTTAGCAAATTGCCTAGTAGCATTCCTTGAAAACACATGACAGTTGCAGGAAGTATTTTAGAATCATATATTCCATGCACTAGGTTTGTGCATCCTACCTCTCTTTTCTCAAACTCAATTTGGTCTTGCTGTAAACTATGACTATGCCATTCATATCTGATCACTTGTGAACAAATATCAACAGAACTTTTACATGTGGTATCTTCATGTACAGGTTCTAACTGAGTATGTTGTACAAGATTTAAATGTGAATCCCAAACTCCCATTTGAAGATGATTCTTTTGATGTCATTACTAATGTGGTATGTGACTCTCTCCAATACTTTTAATATCAACTGGCTCTTTTGATGTTATTAAGGTGGTTTTGAATCTATATCCACATAAAACATATAAGATTGTAATAACAGATCATGTTGAGATTTCTGCGGGAATGTTTCTTGAGGAATTTGGCCTTGGAATAGCTGCAGTTATACTGTTGACTTGTCTAATTATCACATATGCCCGAATATCTTTATTGAAAAATCTATCAGAGGACTATGTATAGTAGTCTTCTTATGTTGGATATTAAGTTAGTGGCATTAAAACATCAATCCATTTGTTTCATAGTCAACTAAAAGAAGTATAATAGGCCCTTGGCCAGATATTTTACAAGAACTTTTATCTTTGATTTTTGTTGTGAAGTTAGTTAATTGTTGGTCCATTTATAGATAATTCTTGATGGCAAACATCACCATTTTATAATACCTTTACCAATTTTAGCATATAAGTTTATCATGGTGCGCTTCAATTACAAAAGGACAAAATAGAGAACACACATAGAGCCCTTTTATTTGCAAAAACATGTTTACATTCTGTGTTCTAAGATCTCCATGACGCTAGCATTGTTCCAGCAATGTGTCTGTGGCCTATGGAGAGAACAAGCATTCTTGCTTACCATGAAGATGACAGTGCTTCATAGATCATACTATCCAAGCCTTTCATGTATGAATTTGTCATCCTTGCAGGTTAGTGTTGATTATTTAACCAAGCCAATTGATGTTTTCAAAGAGATGTATCGGATTCTTAAACCAAGGGGTCTAGCTATAATGAGGTAAGAACCTTTTGTACTTCCTTATATGCAAGGTAGAACTTATTGTTCTTCCTTTTATGCAATTTAGAATCATTTTAAGTGCACCATGAACATTAAAGATTTTTGTCTCATAAGCAATCACTCTGGTAACTAGTTCGCTAGTTAGAAAAATTTTATCCTTGAATATAAAAACTTATTCTGTTATCTCATAGATTAAATTGATATGGTGTTTAAGTATATCATTTTTCTTGAAAAGTTATGACCTATGATAAAAGTCATGCCCATTCACACTTGTGTCCCTTGAAATAATTAGAGAAAATGATTGATCAACTTTGGACAATAAGGAATGTTTCTGTTATATGACGCCATTTGGTGCGTTTTTTTGCACGGTCTTTCGGCTATTTACAAGTCGGAAAGATCGAAAATCAGTCTATTCCCGTTTGACACGAAAGATCTAGCCATCAAAAGACGTGGTGTCAAAAAAACGCGTGAAGCCCATTTTGGAAAAGTCCAAATGAAGCTTCTTGCGTCTTTCGCGTTTTAATCTCACGTGGAAAGACTCGAAACGATGCACGGAAAGACATGCATCTGCCAAACAATCTTCAGACTGCCCAGGTCTTATATCAAAAGCTCAATGCGTATATAGACTGTCACGACACACGGAAAGACGTGTGTCTGCCAAACGATCTTCTGCCCAGGTCTCTGTTAGAGCTATGAGAAGATATTTTCAAAAAGACTTGCCAAACACCAAACGGGCCCATACTTTATGGTGAACTGCTGCATATTGTTGTTAATGATTGGTCTTGTTATCCTTGGTGGTATTGACAATTGCTAATTGCCCACCCGTGTCTTTAAATCAGCTTTTCAAACCGTTGTTTTTGGACAAAAGCAATCTCCATATGGACTCAAACAGGTGATGCTGATCATGTTCTGATTGTTGGGTCATATTTCCATTATGCTGGAGGCTTTGAACCACCTCAGGTATTATGTGGTCAAACTCTTCCTGGAATCTGTCTTTCTTTTTCTTGAATTTACATAAGCTTGAACACATCTTGAAAACCGAAACTTTTTAATGAGAGTTTTTTCTTTTTCTTTTTTCCTCGCATTCCTGAGTAACGAGAACCTCCTTAGTTGACTATTTCTTGCTGGTAACTTGAACTGTTACTCAATAAATTTCTACTTAAATAACCAAGTGTTGCCACTGAGGATCTTTCTAATGATTTAATTAGCCTGATAGATCAGAATCAGATAATGATAGGAAACTTGGTATTCTCACAAGCAAAAGAAAAAGAAAAAAAATAAATAAAAACTGATCAAGGCATTATAAGTACACCTTGAGCGCTTACAGTATTTGGATCTCAAAGAAATCTCCACACAAACATTGCCCCTTATGCAGGCAGATGGGGAAGACACCATATATCTCTAGCTCTCTTCTCTTATAATATGAAATGAGAATTATGGCCCATGGTATCATCAAATGGCTGACAAAATGTTGCTTTGCACCTGATTAATATTTCCTATGTTAACGAATAAGAACTAAAAGTTTTTTTTTTCGGTAGACTTTAACCATTTAACTGATGATCAGTTGTATATTTGGCTTACATGTTTGCATGTTCGCTTTCAGGCTGTAGATATATCTCCCAATCCAGGACGTTCAGATCCAATGTACATTGTATACTCTAGAAAAGCATCCACTGCCTAGTAGACATCTGTTCTTATGACTGCCTTCTCTTTTCCAATGTGCACAAATTTAGAATTGCTTAACAAAAACGCTGCTAGTAAGTGTTGGGTTTTGCAAAAAGAATAGAAAATGCAACCGGACTACAAATTGTTTTATACTTTGAGTGGATATCCTTGTAAGTTGTAACAGTGGTATATATATTCTGTTCCCTCCCCTCTTTTTTAAACAGGTCATATTACATTTAGAAAATAATTGTAATATCTTTACAGTCAAAGACAAATTTAAAGTTGAGGAAACATTAACATGGGGTGATTCTATAATATTTTATGTATTTGATTGCAATAAAAGTTCTGTTAGAATTAAGAGTCAGTTGTGTATGACAGTGTGAAGAATGATTTCTATTTTCTAGTTTCTAGAATTGAAATTTGCAGGTGAGGTATTTGAATTCAAAGTTCAAACATTGACCTTGAACCACACGACGAAGCTCGTTTCCAACAATCAGGTGCAGTGCAGCATCACATTCCATGCATAATTTAAAAGAATTAATACACCCGTGCACTTTCAAGACCAGTGATGGAGAAAATGCAACCCAATTCCAATGAGAAACAATAGCCACAGAATAAGAACAATCTTATTCTTTGCCAACTGCGTACAGATGAGAATTGGGTTATGTGACAACTGACAAGTCGGCAAAACTTCATCCATCACTTTTTGAAGGATCATTCCCCAACTTGTTCAACTTGGACTCAATTAAAAACGAGAAATTCCAGATATGAAATGAAACTACAGAGTGGTGGAAGGAATTAGAATACTGAATATATATATACCAGTGACAAAACCTCTGTTGGGAGTTTGGAGAGGGAGAGAGAGGAGCCAAACCTAAGCCCAACCCTGCTTGTAACGCTGGAAAAGATCCTCGGTCTGAGCATTCTTGAAGGCACTGCAAGCAATGAGGTAGACCCAGATCAGAGCTACCAGGGCGGCTATGAGAATCACGTTTGCCTTCCTCCATTCCTTCCTCAAGTTTCCCAGGAGCCCCGCTTTGCAGGCGTTGCACCCGTAGCACAACTGCGACTGGTCATTGCTCCACATGTAGCAATCCGCGTCAGCTGTTGGGTTTATCGGGTTTACCCACATTGTCGGGTTCACGTACCCGTACCCGCATGCTGTCGGAGGCTTGCAACACCCTGACTGCCAACACAGTGCACACAAACACGAGTCCAGTGCTAAAGTCAAAAAAAGAAGAACTAGATGAAAGAAAGAATTCCAAAATCCAAACTGTGGGACCCATTACTCTTGGGAGGGCACTCGCATGCATGCCCTTGGATCAGAATATCCTAGTCCCCACTGTGCTCTGGAGACTGTACTAGTATATTGTGCAGAATAAGTAAGTGATCGACGGTGAGGGACTTGCCTGAAGAGGAGAGATGTGAGCCATGAAGAACTGATCGACGGTGATGTAGTCTTGGCTAAGCTTGGAACAGACGTTAGAGTTGGCGAGACAAGTTCGAATCTTGCCCCAATTTGCAGAACCGGTGACGTGGCTGCGGAGCCACGAGGAGAAACCTTCGAGCCTGTACTCCTTGTAGCCCCTGCGGGGTACGACGTAGCTGCCGTCGGGCCTGGTGACGACGAAAGCGAGGACGAGCAGGGCGAGGAGGAGCACGATGAGGACAGCCATGCAGAAGATGTAGAAGGCCAGGAGGCACTGACGGTTCCAGTAGGCGCCGACGAATCCCGCGAGAGATACCAGAAGGATGAGGACGCCGATGAGGACGACCGGCCACCGGAAATAGTGGACGCACTCGTTGTCCGGTTTCGAGGCTAGCCAGATTCCGGTGCCGATGATGGGGATTGAACAGAGGAGAGCCAGAAAGTTGAGGATGGCTATGATGTTGTTACTTACTGCCATGGCGGGTCTTTTTCTCTTTGAATTATATCTCTGTAATTCAGAGAAAACAGAAAGGAAACTGAAACTGGGGATTTGGTGGGATGAGAGGCAAAGGATTTTTAATGGTGGGTTGGGGATGGGGAGGGGCGCTTTGCTTTTTAGTCTCCACTTTAACACAGGAAATCTGGGCCCTGAAAGTGGGAATGGGAGGTGTGTAAAGCAAGTCTCCTTCCATATCCGTAGATGGTTGGGCTTTCGTTTCGAATATTGAAAGAAAACTCCCATCTTTCTTTTCTTTTATTGGCTTCGGACTTCGGGTAATTAATGGATCACTGGCAAACCAGTGATAAAAAAACAGGATTGAAAATCTCAAGTCTCAACCCTTTGATCCATGACCTAATATTTTCAAATGAAGTGTGGTTTGACTGACACGTGGAAATCAATGATCATCGTAAACATCGTATCTGCTCTCTGGCCTCCAAGTGGTACAATTGTGGCTTGAGATCAAGTTGTGTACGCATACGTGCGTGGCAGGACTTGCCACGTGGCTATAAGTGGAGTGTTTCTTCATTTATATTTTTCTCTGTCTTTTGTAAAATACAGCTCAGTAGCTCTGGATGCCGAGTGGATTCAGAACAACTCTTGTCTGTAGTTTTAAGGAAGGCGAGATAGTTGGATATTCAGCAATTCATTTCCATGAAGAAGAGGAAATAGAAGGTTCGAACCAAGTTGCGGTGGAAATCAAGGTTGTTCATACTACCAGAGAGCCCTCTTGATCTCGAACTTCAAAGGAAAGCCGAAAGCAGCATCTCTCAAACTTCGGTTCTTATTAGTTATTAACCTTTGAATCCACATCCAGCATTGCGGATTTAGTAAATGACCCACTCTGCTTTGAAGGAATAGATTTTTATGGAGAAGAAGAGGCAATAAGATTTTTGTGCTTTCCTTGCCCCCATTAATGTCTAACATAGTAACATCCAATGATTCGATGAGTGGGTACTAACAGAATCATTGTTTACCTTTGTTTCATGGACATCTTTAATTAGAATGCTTATCTGACTCAGAGTTTCAAATCCTCTGAAATTTAGGAACTTTTAGTTATGTTTGATCACCAACTCAGCCACTCTGTTCCATAACTGGTGTCCAATAAGGCTTCTTTTTCTTTGTCTGAAGCAATATATTAAAATGTTATCCCTGTAATTTCGCTTACAGAATTTGCTTAGTCAATCTTTAATATTATTTTCTAAAAATTTTGTTTCTCTGTATCTCTGAGTTGCTCTTAAAATCATATTCATTTCAAAGTGGGGTTAATTAGACCTGTTCTCTGTTCCTTGTTAGATTAGCCACATGCTTGTAGGAAGGCCAACTGTGACAATTTCTTCCGCTGATCTTGGCTGCTCCTGTCAAATTTGGCCACGTCATCCTTGTTTAAGGAAAACCTCAAACTTTAACCCAAGAGAGAGCACGGAAACATTATAATTAAGGGCAACATAGCTGAATTTGATTGGGCAGTTGTAGCAAAGGCACATAAACTGGAGAATTTTCTTTATTTCTAATTTGGACTGTCACCTTAGATTGGTGGCTTAGGAAACTGCTTGAACCAAACAGAACTATCCATTACAGAAATGTTCGTAAGCTGACTCATGCAGAAGAACAAACAAAAGACAGAGAAACACAATGACAGATACAAACTCAGAAACTCTGTTCTGGAATTAAGATCTACTTCACTAACAGGACAGTTAATAGAATGGCTAAAAACTGAGATATACTACCAAGAAACTGATTGATCTTCTTAAACAACTTTTGCAATCTTCTTCATGGACTCAAATCTAGGTCCCTTGTCTGCAAACTTGGTGGTGGCATAGAGTTTGAGGTAGTCTTGGAAGCAGTAGTGATTAGGATACAGGAGCTTGGGAGCTGGAGAAATAATGGCATCACCAGCAGGATTATAGAAGGTAGCAATGGACAGCCTGCTACCATCCTTTCCAGCCATGACCCGGTGCAGAGTGCTCTTGTACCTCCCATTACTCAACACCTCCACCTGATCACCTGTATTTACAAAGAGAGTGTTGTTCTTAGAAGGTGGTATCTGCACCCACTGTTCATCCTTGAAAAATTCTAGGCCTGGGACTTGATCATCTTGGAGCAAGAGAATGATTCCGCCTGCATCTGTGTGCTCTCGGAGTCCCCTCACGAACTCGGGTTGAGGACACTGAGGGTACTTAGCCAACTTTGTTCCCACAGAAGGACCTGCAGATCCTGAGAATGCACTCATCAAGTAACTTTTCTCCAAACCCAGATTCTCACACATAAGCTCTGAGAGCTTCTCTGCGAGCTTAATCACCTGTTTAATGTATTCATCCATTGCTTCACTGAAAATGATATATAGTTTATCAATTAGTGGTCAGTATACATGCATATATTTATAAATTATATGGAAAACTGAGGAATTAATATATGCATTCCTGTAAGAATGTATTAACAGACTACTGGGTTGTGGTTTGTAGGGTTGTTCTATTGCTGGGTGCAGTTAATTAATGGAATTAAAGAATCCTCTCGAGCTGACAAGCCTGAGAATGCAGGTTTGAGCGTGAGAGATAGCCAGGAACAAGCTTTTTATGACTTAGACTCACCAAAACTCCTTTGAGAGAGCTGTGAATTCATCAATGTTTGAGGTTGGCCTATGACAAATGAAGAAAGTGGTTTCCCAATCAGCACCGGAAGTAACACCTCCGCTCTCCATTAATCTTTTAGCTGTCTCCGATTCATAGAAGCTCCCCTTCATGCACTTATCATAATGTATGTTAAATAGTCCCTTCACCTTCTCCATCAGCTCTCCGTCAACTCCATGGTTCACAACCTGCACATATATAAGTATGTATTATGTATTATCAGGCTGAAACATCACAGATGATCAGCAATATTTAATCGTGTCAAAGGCAAATTAAAGAAAACTGTAAGCTTCCATCACAACCTGAAAGAAGCCCCACTTTTCACAAGCATGGTGCAGCAGCGCCATTGTTTCGCTCCTTTTGTCGCCATTGAGCTCATTGAAGTCTATCACAGGGATCTCCATCATCAATCTTTTGTCTTGTTCAGACTGAAAGAACAGTAACTCACTAGCTCACTGAAGAGAAACAGTGACCTACTGAAGTATATATAGACAGTTGAACAGATCCAGGAATAAACTTCCAGTAATATTATAAGCTAAGGATAATGAAGAATGGAAGGATCCATGGCTGTTGTGCATGGTCAATCCAACCATAACTTCTTGGAAGTTGAACCGTTGCATGCCTTGAGAATAGCAAACATAAATCAATTAATCAAATGGGTTCGCATTCACTTAACCATCACCATGTTTTCTCCCACTCAGAGATCAACTAGGCTTTATTTTATTCTTTGTATTGTGAAAAACAAAAACTTTTCTTATTGATAGCTTGATTCTTGCCTTGCAATTCTCATAATGTATATATCTACTTCTCTCTCTCTCTACATTGATTCAACTAAGGAGTTGTATTTTATTATTTACATGCATTTGTAGATATATAGTTTTCCCAATTGGTTGATTCTTGTCTTGTAATTCACATCATTTAAATTAACCAGATCGGTACTTCATTCAATGTGATGTTTCCAAATAACCCAGCAAAAGTAAAGGGAAATGAACCTCACCATACATCCAATGGGCGCTTGGGGTTGTTAGTTGGCACAAAGGATCTTCCATTCAACGAATCATGGATATGAAATGCTTACACCATAGGAGAGAACTCAATCCAAGCAGGCCTTGCTGATTTTTTATGCTAAAATTGCCTTCATCTTATCATAAATCTTGAAACTCTCTCCAGTCTTGTGTTCATGCACCTTGTCATTTACTCTGGTTTGGGATTGAAGAGATTTCACCAATGTGGACAAAAACAGGCCTATTCATACTTTGTGCTGAAATTTAACTAATTATAATATATCTAACAAAGATTGAACACTAGACCACCTTATCAAATAGGCTCCAACACCATCTCAAGGAATCATTCAACTTAAAAGCTTAAGCTGTTACAAACTGTCCATAAATAGGTTTTTATTCTCTTACAGTCATCTGTGTAATTACCAATTATAGAGATTCCTAACATATTTACTCTTTGATTGGGCGATATAACATTTTTTAACCAATAGCTTGATTTGGGATCTCCCACAGTTTGCACTTGTCCCGGCTTTTGATCAGCGAGGACAATCAAAATTCAGTATGCACCCATCACAGGGGAACAATAAAAAGAAAAAGCCATCCAGAAAAGTAGAAAAGAAAAAGAGAAAGAAAATCAAGCTTTCATCTTCCTTTTCAAAGCTTAAAAAGAACTATATATATACAAAATGAGATGGTTATATAAGAATCATTTGATTATCTAACTTTTTAGTACAACCAAAGCTTTAACCGGGACCCATGCAATGATGGGTCCTGATTCTTTCAACATAGAACAGTGGCAAGATATCGATCCGATCCTAGTGGAAGAAATATCTTTGTTTTATCTTTTCTTTTTTTTTTTGTGACTTTAGACCTTGGGGGTAACAAAAGTATTGCAAAATTGGCTTTTCATAAGTCCGCTTTTAATTAGCTTACCAAACGTCTGTCTAGGGCTTTCTATGTTGTTGCTTTTGGCTTTGGAAGGTAGAACCCCCTGGAAAGCCTGTAAGCGATGCTTAGTTAAAAATCTTGGAGGATCCACATTGACAATTTTTAAGCCACTTAGATAGCTTTCTGTTAAAGCTTCTAATGGCTTAACGAAAATAGCTCAGGGCTTTTCGATAGCACAACTTCTACAAAGCAGCTCAAGCAACTCAACCACAGCTTAAGCCCTTCCTGATAAGATGATTGTAAAACAGTAAATATTTTTCACCAAACATTGCTTATGGGCTTTCTTGATAGGATGAACGCAACAGCTGTTCAGGAGGCCGTGGAACTAATAGCAACTCTCTACACCAGTCATACATGGAGCCCGCAAACTTTCAGCCTCTCACTATGGGTTCCATGTATTTATCATTGATGTGGGGTGATATCATTGGTCCCACAGCTCCTGCTACACAACCAAAGCATTCAGCTAATCCAAATTCTATAACAAGTACCAAAGCAAAGGTGCCAGTTAGCTCGCTGCTATTTGTTGCAAAGCCCTAAAAATCAATCTCCCTTCCATTGGGATTGGGTGTGGGTTTGGGTTTTGGAGATGGGCTGTATTAAGCACACCACTGTATAGCCCATTTGATTTAAGGAAGGCTTTCCCCTCACTTAGCTAACTTGTTTATCTATGAGTCTTCGCTGATCAGGGAATAAGAGTGCAAGTCGGGTATCCAACTTTTAACAAATGCTCAATCCTAGTCTATCCAAGTTTCCTTTTACCAACCTACCAGGGAAGTGTGACCTTATGCATTGGTCCTAATTTTGTGGGGAAAACTTTGAATTCTAAGTTGAACCAGCAAGAAACCATGCACATGGGTTGGTGTTACAAAGAACACCTATTAAGATAGAAAATTGAAATTGAATCCTTAGAGAAGAGGAAGAAGAAAGTAATATTATGTGGTAATATTGTAAAGCAAATTTCCAAAACGTATAAGAATGAATTCCATGTACAATTCAAAACAATCCTAAGTTAATGAATGTATCAACCAGTTTTAGTTTGAACTTTGTGGCTTTTAATGTCAAGGAGCTGGTGCTTATGAAAATTCAAAAAGTCCAGATTTCTTATCAATGACCACTCTACCCACACCTACCCACATGACATCCTAGCAACAGATGGGGAACATTTCGCTCTCGGTTTTGTAGAGCTTTCTTCTCCTTTTTGTTTGTCATGGTTTGAGACTTGTCTGTCTGTCTTAGAGTTGGTGGTATGGAAGAGGAGGTTCCTGTTAATGCACTTAACAAGGTTGGGTGTTCGGAAGATGGAGTGGACATTGATGATGAAATCAGTAATAGGGAGGATGGTGATAAGTGGAATCGGTGCTTGGTGGGGAAAGTTCAGGGAGATAAAGTGGTGAATCATGCAGTAGTCATGGGTGTTTTTTCAAAGTCATAGAACTTGAAGCGACCAGTGGTGGTGGAGGGTTCACCTGAAGGCCATTTTTTGTTTGTCTTCACCCATGAAGTGGACATACGATCAGTGTTGGACCGTGGCCCATGGGCAGTTGCTGGTCAAATTCTGGTCTTGAAGCGGTGGATTACAGAAGGATTGTTAGAAGAAATGAATTTTTCCAAAACTGAATTCACTGTCCAAATACATGGTTTGCCATTGGATTGGCACATCAAGTGTTGGAGAAAAAATTGCAGCACGGGTGAGCAAAGTAGTAGCAAATAACTCATTGGATCTGTAGAAATGTTGGACTAGCCATGTCCTTGCGAGAGTGGAGATTGATTTGAATCAACCACTGAAGAAAAGCGTATCGGTGTATCGTAAAACGAAGAGTCCTCTCTGGGTTGATATCAAATATGAGAGATTACCATTATTCTGTTACTATTGCAGGCGTATCGGCCATGATGGGAAGCATTGTATGGAGTGGGTAGAGAAGGAAAAGATGGAAAAGGATGAAGCTCAAAATCTTTGTTATGATGCATCGTTACATGCTGATCCACCAACTTTTTTTTGCCAGACCTCTAGATTCAGGAAACACGACAAGGGTGTCTCTCCGCTTGTTCAACGGGTTACGTCCGTTGCTCCACCGGAGGCAACGACGAAGGGTGGCGAAAGTGTAGTGACTTTTGGGGTTGCTAGTGGAGAGCCGTTTGGTGGTGGCATTGAAAGTAGAGGAGATCGTGGCATGCAATCAGGACATGAACAAACAGTTATGGGAACATTGATGGCAGAGAATATTGAAGAGGAACTTTCAAGAAGTTTAAGGATCCTGAGGGGATTCCGAAAACGTTTCTCTACAGTTCAAAGTTAGGGGTTGTAGGACCCTCAAAAAAGAGGAAAGTTGCGTCTTTCTCTGACGTGGGTAATGAATTAATACATCATTTGTGGGTGGGGGAGAATGGTGGGAAGGAGACTTGCGAAAAAGTTACAGACCCTACAAGTGATGAGGTGGCAAGGAGTAGATGTACTGAGAATTCAAATTCATGGGCTTCGGTGGTTGTCCCTCTACAACCCCGAGTGGACCCATGAGGATCTTAGCATGCAACTGTAGAGGTTCGGGATGCACCTCTACAGTTCAAGAACTCCAAGCACTCAATCGTATGATGAAGCCAGAATTTATTTTCATTTCTGAAACAAAAGCATCTGTAGAAAGAGGAGTAAATGTGCTTAGGAAGGTCGGCTTCCAACATTACTGTATTGTTCCGTCCAAGGGGCGGAGTGAGGGTCTTTGGCTTGCATGGCAATCACACATTGATGTTGAGATCCTTTTTCAAGATGATTTTATGATTGCTGGTTTGGTTAATGGTGTTCCTCCATGGATGGAATGGTTGTTTTCGGGTGTTTATGGAGACCCAAGAAGGTCTGGTGGTAAGGTCTTATGGGAAATGCTTGAAGGCATTGTTGGGAATTATTTGGGTTCATGGATTTGTTTAGGTGACTTCAATGCTATTGCCTCCGGCGATGAGAAGAGAGGAGGGAAAAAAGGTATTGGTGCTAGCTCTTACCGGCCTGCTGAGGTTCAAGAGAAGTGCAATTTAATTAATCTATGCTTTGTGGGAGAAGGTTTACTTGGACTAATGGTCAACAGGGGCTTGCCAATGTTGCTGAACGGCTTGATCGGGCATTGGTTAATGTTGAATGGAGGGAGTTATTTCCCCAGGCCATGGTCTTTCATCTTCCAACCATTCAATCTGACCACTGTCCAATTTTAGTTGATATTGAAGGGGATGTGAAGCCCGGGAAAAAATTCTTTAAATTTGAAGCTATGTGGTTGAGGGATTCAAATTGTAGAGAGTTGGTAAAGCGTTCATGGGTTGAGCACTCTATTGGAGGAGATGTAGGGAGGGGTTTAAGTGGTGTCAGGAAATCTCTGAGTAGATGGAACAGAACTGAATTCGGCAATATCTTCAATCATATGAGCCGTATTCGGAATGAAATCGATTCAGTTCAATAGTTGGACCACTCCTCTCATATAGCAGGTATGTTGCAATCA